GCTACCTGCGACGAGGACGAGAAGATGGTCTTTAGAGGGTGACTGGCTATTGCTATGTTCTGTCAACTAATTACACTCAAACGCTGAGATAAACCGATTAAACGTAACTACGACTCAAAACTTCATGAGAAATGAGTGCGCAAGTTGAGCATTTAAGTTTACTGCCGAATTCACTCTTACTTTCAGATTTAACGTAAATGTAAAAGTTGGAGTTTGTTTCTAAACTTTGACTTTTTGTCAAGCGCCACCAACAGGTTTAACAAATTGCACTCGCAAATATTCTGAAATTACTGCCACTCACTATTTCGAATGAGCGAGTCTCGCTGAGGTAAAGCATTTGAAAGTAGCCGCCAGAAAAGGCTATTTTCATTTACGGGTTTCACGTTACCTTACCTGTGACCTCATTTTTTCTTTCGAACTTCTCCGCGCACTAAAATTCCCTAAATCAGTGAATGATCGTCACTATGTTTTTATTTGGTCAGGTCTTCTAGCACCCAGCACAACTACGCGTTGCTTTCTAAAGAATAAAAATTGGCATTCTAAAAATGTTTCTACCGCGTTTCAACGCCTCATGGTTACCTCAAGTATGACATTTTATATCAATGCCCGGTAAAGTGCACTACGCGTAGCCAAATTACTTAAGGACGCTAAGGGAGATCGTACAAAAGAGAGTATCGGAGCAGCATCTCGAATGTTTTCATTGAATTTCCTCTTGCTAACCAAACTATGGGCAGCAAGCCGGACACATTGCAAGAAGGACCAGTGTTTGTTGCATCAAAGGGATCTTCGACAGAATCGTCAGAGACAGTAAACGACCTGCGGATAGACCTCCATGTCGACGGTGGAATGAGTTCAAGAATTTATTTGAGGAACATGGAAAAAAATCGTGTGGCAAAATCCTAGGGAGACTTTCATCGAGTAGTAGGTTTGGAAGGTCTTGTGAAGATGCTGAACTCGAAATATCCACCTCGCGATTGAACTGAATTGCAAACGAGCACTGACCAAATTGGAAGACTGGTAAATCCAGATGTGACTTTTTCGTCCAGTCGCACTGTGCTTCAGAAGACATCACATTCATGAATTTAGTTTGAAAACACATAAGCAAGCTCTTAGTGATAATAGATGAGATGGAGACGGTTAGAAGCCTGGATAAATGTGTTCAATAAATGAAGCTTTTGGAACCCACAATAGTGTTCCATCGCCCAATTAGTAACGTGAAGCACAGTAATTAATTTGCCCTGGAGAAGGAAAACCGTTGTGGATTCCGTAAGCTATATTCATGAAGTTTTCTACGGACTTGTAACCGTCTGTTTCTTTATCAGATT